ACAGTTATACTCCCGAGTTAAAAATGATACATAATATCGATTGCACGAATAGATATTATACATATACTCGAAGAACTCGGGAGGATTAGTGCATATCATATCGCTAGATTAAGCGCGAGGTTAGATTAGTTGTCTGTTTTCTCGTATAGACAAGCTGTTGAAATATGTATGGGAATGAGGTGCGGCTGACCATTATTGTCTAAGGCGAGTCTAGATCGAATGTCAGAATATTATTAGACCAACGGTGTATAGTAATTACCCTTCACGCCTAGCTCTCACCAGAATATTAGACCGATATAGGAAATAATAGGATTAAAAGACAATCTGGATGGCCTTTTGAATGAGGAAGTTAATATGAGAATACCGATATACTCATAATATTTCTCCCATGTGAATTGGTCTGTGTTATATGTGAGTGATAATTGGTATCATCCTTTTACCTGATTTTCTGAATATTAAAATCTTTTAGTGATCTTCGTATTTGTGAATATAAATATTTTCATAGTGTCTGAAATAGAATTATCTTATCTGACTTGAATAATTGGTGAGTGTGATGTATATATATGATAGTGTGATGTGATTGATGCTGGTGTGGTTGTGTTTCTTCAACTGATGTTCAGGATAGTTGTGATATTTTTATATTGGTTAATTATGATGTAATATTTATATTGACGTCTGTAAGTAAAAGTCTCAAAATGTGATATTATTAATAAGAATAGATAAGATAAGTTTTTCAGAAAATCACATATGTCTGATATGTATAGATAGTATATATATATATATTAATATATATATTATATATATATATATTATATATATATATATATGTACCACACAGATATATATATATAATATATAATTTAAAAGTATATATATATATATATATATATATATATATATATAAACATCTATATTTATATATATATATATATATATATATATATATATATATATATATATATATATATATCATATAGATTATATATATATATTATATATATATAATATATATTTAAAAGTATATATATATATATATAAACAATCTATATCTGTAAAATATATTATATATATATATATATATATATATATATATACATATATATATATATATACATATATATATATATATATATATATATATATATATAATATATATATATATATATATATAGTGTGTGGTGTGTGTGTGTGTGTGTGTGTGTGGTGTGTGGTGTGTGTGTGTGTGTGTGTTGGTGTGTGTGTGTGTGTATAACACAAGATATATACATGTATATATACATGTGTGTATATATATAATATATATATATATATATATATATATATATATATATATATACATATACATATATATATATTTATATATATATATATATATATATATATATTATATATATATAATATATGTGTGGTGTGTGTGTGTGTGTGTGTGTGTGTGTGGTGTGTGTGTGTGTGTGTGTGTGGTGTGTGTGGTGTGTGTGTTTGTCGAGAGCCCATGTGTCTGTACCTGTAAATGCGGCCTCTCAACCCTCTGGTCCCCAGGAAGGGCGCTCCGTTCCGCCGAGCAGTGAGCATGATTCAGCAGCGAATCATCGAGGCAGGACTCATCACGCACTGGGTCGATGACGTCGTCAAAGCGCGGGCCAGGAAGGTCAGGATGAAGAGGAAGCTAGCGGGGCAGGAGACCCGGAGGCCAGGCTGATCAGCTGCTAAAGGAAGGAGTGGCTGAAAAACTCAGGTTTTCTTAGGATTTTCTTTGGTTGTAGTTTGTTGGGCTGCTGGTCTGTCCTAGAATTTTGTTTCTAGATGATTAATTCTTTGATTTTGGTTATTGGGCGAATAAAAGAGAATCAGGTTTTTACCCTGCTAAGTAGCATTTAACATAAAACAATCTCAAAACTCTAGAATAAGATATATATGTATTCTCTCTACCTTCGTTATACTTATATGGGTCTCATTAGAGCGTTATATAGTGTGACATTAATGATAATAAATATATACTACGTAGTACTCGATGTGGAAGCACATAATATATATAGTAAGTTATTTATCTAAATTAATCATTATCTTAGGGGAGTGATCATAGTGAGTGAGTAGATTATGATAGACTGTGCGATAGTGGGCATCAGATACATAGTAAGTGATAGGATTTTCATGTGCGCATGATTGTCGATAGTGGAATTTATAATGCTCTAGATGATCAATAATATACATAATATATATAACTCTTCATATGAATCTAATATATGTATCCTTATAGAAGATAATGAATCGTATTCAACTCAATACAATAATTCTCTCTCATGGGGGATTTAGTGCTATGTGATATATTATTATGTGAAGATTGATATATTAAAAAGACTTTCTAAATGATGTGAATAATAAAGAAGAAAGATGTGATAATGAATTAAGGATATGCTACTGTCTATACAGCTAATTTCGACATAGTGGCCGAAAATAGATAATAATGATTGGAGAATAAAATGATATACTATAACTATTTGGAATACTAAATGTAATATAATGTGGTGAAAAAAAGATTAATATGATTAATAAAAAGATGTTCATGTGAAAGATCGTATAAATTATGACTCGACGAATAACAATAAATGTGTTATATTGTATCCACTGTATAATTGTATCTATGTTAAATACGGTGAATCTATATGTAAGAATATAAATGCTCTAAAACATGAATTGAAGATCGTCAAATGGATTCGATGTATGAAATGTTGATCGTTAACATAATTAATATGGAGTTCTCTCCCGAAGATAATATGTTCTGATACCTGTTGTGGGGTAGTATTAGGAATGGATTGAGAGGTTCTAGGATTACGGATAGAATTTTGCATGTTTTAGTGAATTTTGGTGACTACAGGCAATACTTTACATATATAGACTCGTAGCAAAGGGAACAATTATGATGAAACTTACCCGAAGTCGTCCTGGTTTCTGTTATATATATGGAATCAAATTACATTTCTTTTGTGTCCGCTTTAAGGCAACAATGGTTTGGTGTATATTGACTGTGACTTATAGACGCTCTTAGCCTGAGTCATTAAGATGAATATCCAAGTAACATGTATGTATAATATGTACAATATTTTGTATATAATCTACGATGTTCATTCAAGGAGAAATAAGACAAATGGACGAGAGTATAATTATATACATAACCACATTTACTGATGAAATTGGGAGGGAATAGAACAAACTTTAGCATTCCATGTACACACATCCTATATATTTTTATTGATTCATATATTTAGTTCTAGCTTATGTTAGTTATTAATATATGTTTAGAATAGACTGAGATCTGAGTTATACATATTCGAAACGTGGATCGATTTTATTGAATTTTGCGGGATGAGTTGGAAGTTGGGGATTTGATTGGTGTAGGTACTACTATATTGTGATAACTATCGTAAATGAAAGGGCTTACATAATGTATCTGTATTCAAAATTGATTAACCTAGCATTACACGAAATTATTTAGCTGATCCCGATTATTGTTAATGTGATTGATTACCTGGGCCAAAAATATTTCATTCCTTGATTTACGGCTTTTTTATCTGAAAACCTCTGATAGGCGGTAGCAAAATCAAAACAGAAATAAATGGGCGTTTTGGATTTATTTTTAGAACAATTAATTGATATCTGGAAACATGTAACAGGCAGTAGAAAATTAAATGAAATATCGATGACAAATCTACATCATGCCTGGAATCAGTACTGTTCATGTGTTCATAGACAGGAATGACCTCCTTTGACAGAACCAGTTACATTGTACTTGAGACAAACGGCGGTTACCATCAAGTTTTAGTTACATCTGCATTGATTTATTTACAAGATTTACAAGATATAACTCTATTGAACATCGGCGGTAAAATAAAAAAGTTGGTTTTACAAATATTTTCATTTTGTTCACATCGGAATTAAATCCCATTAGGTTCGGTGGGAATAAAATAAAGTCGATTTCTCAATTACATTCCTTTTCGAAAATCGGGAAAAGCAAGTGCGGCGGATCGTAAACCAGGAATAAAATAAATGTCGCCTAAACTGTAATAATAATATTTACTAATCTCTAAAATCTGATGTTCTGCAAACCTCACTCAGGTATAAACTAGTGAATATAACTAGCGAAAAACATGAGATAACAGAGCAATCGAAATACTTCGCTATTATAAATTATGTATAAAATATGTTTATTATAATAATATACACTGTTGTGACAAGCGCCCTACTTTCATTTCCAATGGGCGTTGCGTGAAAAAAATAATGGTTCAGGCAAACAGTTATTTTGCTTTGCGCGATTTATTTCACAAAATACAGTAACAATCAACAAAGATCAATGATCTCCATCTTAACGATAATTTTTTTTCATAAAACATACAAACTTAAGTATAAGATTAACTAAGTATCTTTACCAAGCAGCCGTTTGACTTGACTGTTGTTCATGTTAACAATCATGGGACTTTTACCCCACTGACCAAATTTTCAACATTCCAATATTGCGAAAACGTGAATTAACCTCAGCAAGTAAATGAAAAAAATATGCGCAGTGATATAAACTAAATCATATTAATTCCAACATTTACGATCCAAATGCAAAACACTGATTTGCAACTCATTCAGGAAATAATTTTGATAAAGCTGAGGATAATTAACACTGCTCAAATAAACCGAAATTTACATTTAATGGGGTAAAAAAACCTTTGAGCTTCTAATGTTGATAAATTCATCTGGATTAAACTATATTTAAATCAGAAAAAAAACATACATCTTAATATACAATCTTCACAATTGCATCTTGCACTAGTTTTCTTTAAATATAAGAAACAAATCTGAATTCTGCTAACCTTGTCTGACAAGTAGTTTAAAAATTCACCAAGAATAAACCAAAATTATAGCAGAAATCTAGATACACAGCCTTCATAACTGGATTTTGTACACGTTTTTACACATACATTTACGTATACACATTGTTTTGGTTTACTCAAATATTAAAGAACATCATAATAGCCGAGTTCCTCTAACTTCCTCCGTTGGATGTCACGAACTTCCTCCTCTGTGAAGGGACTGATGGAAAAGTAAACAAAGAGAGCAACAGCGGCTACGAGGATGACAACCAGCATACTGTTCAGTAAATACTTCTCCCACGTTTCTTGGTGAAGGTTCGTCAGCTCTGCTAAATGTTCGTTCATGGCAACTGCTTGTTCCTGGTGAGCAGAAATCGTTCAGAAAATTATCAGTACAATGATTTCCTATATTATATTATCTCGTCACATATGACATCTAAAAAAAAAAAAAAAAAAAAAAAAATAGTAGTGAGTGTCTGAAAATGTCTTGTGATCATCAGCTTCAGGAAAAATGTCAATTTATAAGCCTTACAAATTTCGTATTTAATAATACTTCATTAATGTAGTGAATGAAGCCCCCATTCCTCTTGCAATGTCTTATTGCTTGTACTTCATGAATATTTAGTACATCTGCGATTCAAGTTATTCTTTTTGTGTATTAAAAACTCACCTCAGCGTCTTTTGAAACATCAAACCCACAGATACAGTAGTACGCTTTCTTGTACCACGGTACATGGTGATCTCCGTCAACACTTGCTTCTGCAAAATAAAAAAATATTCTTATGGCATTATAAGTAGCAACTTACATACCAAAGACACAGAGAGAGAGAGAGAGAGAGAGAGAGAGAGAGAGAGAGAGAGAGAGAGAGAGAGAGAGAGAGAGAGAGAGAGAGAGAGAGAGAGAGAGAGAGAGAGAGAAGAGAGAGAGAGAGAAGAGAGAGAGAGAAAGACTGAGAGAGAGAAAAAATAAAGAAAGAAAAATAAAAGAGAAAGAAAATAAAAAGAAAAAAAAGAAAAATAAAGAGAAGAAGAAAGACAAAAATAAAGAAAGAGAATGAAGAGAGAAAGAAAAATAGATAAAGAAAACAGAGAAAGAAAATAAAGAGAAAGAAAATAACGAGAGAAAGGGAAAAATAAAGAGACACAAAAAGAGAAGGAGCAAGTTTCTATAACACAAGTTTCTCCTTACCGTCGACAGTGTGGGCCACCTCCAAGAGCTCGTTGTTGACTCTCTCTTTCATCTCCATGTCATCCTCTCGGTCTCTGTGGTCGAGCCTCGTGAAGTAGGTCGTCCTAATCAGCTAAGGAAAGTAGGATATTTATACATGAGGATGTGGAAGCTAAATGGGGATATGTGACGTGTTGGGAAAAGACATCAAAGTCGTATATCGAATTGAGCAATCATGGCCTTATAAACAATAGGTATGAAAAGTCGAAGCCATGGTTGTATCATTTTGATAGAATGTTCGAAGATCAGAGACAAATGTACAAGGTTATAATCATGTCGACAATAAAAAGTAGAGTAAATACTCCGAGAGAACTGCCACAAAAATGACTTCATATCACCAGTGAATATTCTACCAAAATTCGTCAAACTTGGAAAGCTTACCCGCCATTCCTCTGGAGGTTCTGTGATGAACGTCACGATCACAGACACTAAACACGTTCCCCAAAACATCAGTGTGGCAAAATACATGTAGTGAATCTGTGAAATATGGATATGTATGTATATACCTAAGTACGGAACTTTCACAACATGTACCCCTTCTTTCACAAATGTACCTTTACATGTACAAACGATATCTTGAAATATTCATCTGAAAGTTCCACTTTTCATAATATAAACACTGCAGAAAGGGAAAATCATACCATCAATAAACCGATGCCCTTCGAGCGTTCTTCTAGGTTCCCAACCTTTTTTGTGGACCCTAATAATCTCCGTATCTTATTTCAGTGACTGTCACCTTTTCAGATTCAGTTATTACTAGTTACGTGTAGTGTAATGGTGTCAGTAGCTATAAAGCAAGAACACTTTACGGAAAGATTCCATTTTATTGACATGTGAGAGACAATTATATGTAGGTACTGTAGGTGAGATAAAATTCAATTCAGTTCAATGCCCTAACTTTTCTATTGCTCCATGGCCCCCAGTAAGTACCCCGTGACCCCCCTTAAGGGCCATGGCCTCGCGATTGGGAACCCCTGCCTGGCGCATTCATCTTAATAACAAATAAACACTCAACTAGCAAACCTTTTTAATGATATTTGGTCTCAGGTCCTCCTCGCCGCAGGGGGGCTCAGTGTAGTAGAAATCCAGACTCATTCGAACCATGCCCACCACGAAGCCAATCATAAGGCCCCAGAACGCTCCCTGTTTTGGGGGGAAATCGGCAAATTTTATATCTCTAGTAATTTCCGATTAATCTCAAATTGTAACACCAATATAATAAAACAACAGCATCCACTGTTTTCCTTACTGGTTCATTCAACCTCTTCCATATTACAGCCATACAGTAGATAGCTGCAATTGGAGGTGCCAAGTACGACGCAATTACTTGTATATACACAAACAGTTGTCCACCTTGTGACCTCTCAATGATTGGCATCCACAGAATTGAGATGACGACCAACACGACGATAAACAACCTGTTAAAGATGAAATCGCGATAGAGTCGTTTTCTTTAACTACATTCGTAACAGGTAATTTTCTGTTGTTGTTTAACCATTCACCTCCGTGCGTGCATTTTTTTTCTTTTGAAGAATAATACAGGTTCATAAGTTCTACAGTGCCTTAAATTTTCGTGGGTCGGGGTTCTTGCTGTGTGGTACTTTTTCTGAAACTTTTATAATAATCAAATACCTGTGTGAGGTGTACAATAAATCACATTTTGTAATGCTTCACACTATAATATTCCGAGTCTGGTGAAATTTAGAATATTTTCAGTTCAAAATTATTGCGGCTGCCAGTTTTATCGACAGTTTCGACTTAAAATCCCTCTTTTTCCAAGAAAAAAATACCGCTTACCACTATCAATAGGGATGAAGTTCTAAACAAAAGGGGTTACTTATCTAAAAATCTAATCAAAGTATTTCCAGTAGTTTAACCGGTGGTGCTGACCTCATATATATAAATATATTCATATATGTATATAAACATATATATATATATATATATATATATATATATATATTATATATATATTTATATATTATAATATATATTATATATATATATATATATATATATTATATATATATATATATTTTATATATATATATGTATATATATATATATATATATATATATATATATATATATATATATATATATATATATATATATATACATATATATATGCGTGTATGAGTGAGTGAGTGAGTGTGTGAGTGAATGTATGCTTATATATACACGCTTATTAAGTTATATATAATATATGTGTAAATCCATATGGCAACGCGTAAGACCGTTAAACCAGAGACTAATACCGCCTTTACCTCCCGACAATCAGCTGCTCCCTCGCCTTGGCCTTGGGTCGACAGAGCATCCACAGATCCATCGTGAAAAGGGTCGAAGCCGAATTAAAGATCGACGTCAGGTTACTCATGAGCGCCGAGAGCATGACCGACACCATGACACCTCGCATGCCCCCAGGGAGAAACTCCAGCACCAGCTTCGGGTACGCGGAGTTCGAGCACGAGGTCGCCGATCCGCAGAACTTGAGGCACTCCTCGGGGTCGACGCAACCGACTTCGTTGGGGAAAAGCACGCGAGAGATCATACCTGTAAAGGAAATTCGTGGCGCCTTAATAAGGAGTGATGCGTGGCGGAGTAAACCATAGTGTGTTAACAAAAGATTGTAACTTGGGAAGGAAAGATATTAGATATATGTAACATAACGGTTATTTGAATCTTGCGTATTCACAATCTGGCGTCATGATGCTGATCTTTTATGGATACATTTATTTCATATCTGTTCATATTTCATATTTTTGTTCGTTTTAGATTATTACCTGGCATTACTATGATAAATACTGGAAGGATCTTCATATATCCAGCAAAGAGTGTTCCGCCTTGCGCATGGGATAAACTCTTGGCAGCCATAGCTCGCTGCACCATCATCTGGGTAAAGCAACATTATTAATTACTGTTTTTGCCATGATAACACACACACACACACACACACACACACACACACACACACACACACACACACACACACACACACACACGCACACGCGCGCGCAC